GGCTTTCCCGGTTTCTCCGTGGCATCCCAACAATTACTCATTACTCCATACACACAGAAGAAGGCAATGGCAAACCACTTCTGGATCATCTGCCAAGAACGTATATGAACAGGTCCCAGTCCGAGAAAAGGATGGAAGGATCCTGTTCATATGGACCTGTCCTCAGACAGAACACTAATTAATTATTAATTGTTTATTTATTAATTTAGGAGTAAACTTTATCTGTATATTTGGTTGTAATACAAGACGGTACAAGGAATTTGTTTTTTATCCCGAAATAAAATACTTATATAGGGCTTATTCCATGGTGAGAGTCGTCCTTGAGAAACTGATAGTAGCACAGATGTTCAAAACATGCCACGTGTTTGAATACAAATAGGGAAAAATATTCTGAGGTCACTGATGACGTAACGATGTATCAGTGGCCTTAGTTTTCACGCCCCACACTCATAAAATAATCTCGTGGAGACTTCGATAAGTCTCTGCCTTTGTTCCCAGCGATAAAGTCGAATAACACTTTGTCGACTTCGTTTCATATGTCGATCTTATGGGTTGTGATGCCTTGAGGACCCGTGGGTAGATACCGACATTTTGGAGGAACCTACTGTATCAACCTTCAGGTTGTGGGGTGCGCGGAGTGTTGTAAGCCACTCGCCATCAGGATAGTCACGTCAGTAAATGTCGAAAATTCCCCTAGGACTTTCGGGCACTACACTCAGAATTTTGTCAGGAAGTTGAGTGATTATTACAAGTTAAAATATCCATTAATGTTTGTTGTCTGTGGGGAAGTTTGTGTTATAAATTCTTCGCCGAACTTCCTGTTTCCTAATCGTGATGGTCGTTTCCCCCCCGCTGTGTGTCGTCATGAAAACAAATGACGGATGTGGCAGGCGTGACGCAAATCAACTAGTCAGGTTCAAGACACTTGTTTCTTGATGGACAGTGCCTTGTTTTATGACATACATAAATACTGTGTATTGTATACTTGGGGGTGGGGGGAGGGAGGTCCCTACATGTGCCTGCTCTTTCGACCCCTAATAAAATATATTGGTCTGCTTTGACGTATTTTCGTAAACATCTGCTTGGTAATTAGTTTATAACTTCGTGGTATTTGATCGCGACGTTCAGATTTTGTTATTTTCTAACTCTCTAGGGTCTTCTAATTTAAAAGATCTTTATTACATTACGTTACAGTACTTAAGCTTGGTAGAAGAAATTATATTAAACTTTATCTTCTGGTATTTGAGACGCGGATTTATATACTCAACGGCAGTCCTGCATACTTCTGAGGTGATGATCATTATCGTAATTTAGGCCCATTATAGGATCATACACATGTATTAATTTATTATGGAAATAGAAATCAATATGTCGGCCTCACGAAATGTTGTTGATTTATGAATTATTTGTTCGAAAGCGTGAAATTTGTATGATGAAGTTCGTTTATGAGTTTTATGCTACGCATTTGCGTTTATTTGTTACTGTGTGGTGAGTGCGTAAGTATGAGGTCCTGTGAGAAAAACAACGCTTATAGTTGCTCGTTGGGTTTTTATGTTATCAGGAAGTTTCAGATAACTTTTTGGGAGTAGAAGGATCTCAGTTCACAGTTGTCAGAGAGTCTGGTTCGAATTGTCGCCGAAAAACCAAATGTTTTTCATTGGTTTTTCACCCTGGAACATCTCTGCGTTGCATCGTAGCGCCCTCGCATTCTTTCTATCGTACGTCTTTTCACGGCTCATAATTCACTTGTTACACCACAGTAAAGCAGCTGAATAACGAAGTAGCAGCGGACTGTCATGTTCTTAATCGTCCGTTTGCGTCGTCTACTCTTTTATAGCACGGAATTTTGCCGAAATTCGTCGCTCAAAGACCGTCTATCGTGAATTGGTTCTGGCGTGGTTTTCCTCAGTTCCTCCAAGAAGATGCCGAGATAGAACCTCAAATTGAGCCACGACCTCTAGTTTATAAATCCTTCCCAATTCATTAATCGTCCTATCATTCGTCGTTAAATAAAAAAACATTAAAAATATAAGCACGGAAGTGAGGAACGATGTCAGTTATTGGCAGTAGAATTTCTAGTATCGAATGGCATTAAAAAAATTTGACACGCTGTGTCAGCTGACGATCGCCTCGGTGGACAGTGACGGAACATTACCTTACTGCAGGGACACCTGAGACCTCAGTATTTCTCGGTAATGTACGTGAAGATTTAGCTTAAAAGCATTAGCCAGCGTTTAGGAAATTAAAACATTTGGTAATTATAATAATAATATATTTATTTGCGGTTTTTTTATTTAACGACGTTAGCTCAGGTTATACACCGTCGAATGAGAACATAATTAATTAATGATGAATTGGAAAGGATGTGGAAGGAAGAGGTCCAGGCTCAATTTTAGGTACTTTCTGAGTACTTGTTGGGGGGGGGGTTAAGTAAAACTATGAAAGGTAGCTGCTCTCTGGGCCAAGATTTAAACCTGGGACCTCCAGACTACGAACCACTCGGAAGTGACTTTCTCTGGAGATCTTTTGTTCTAATTGATGTATTATTTGTCTTGCTATATTCTTGGATAATTCTTTATTACGTGTGATTTTACATCGCATCTTTAAAAATTACTATCTGATTTGGAAAAGAAATACTGAAGAAAGGAAGGAACAAAATGTACGAAGGTGATAAGGGAAATCAAAAGGATTACGAGAGATTAAACCAAGTAATCGCTCCCCGTAGAATTTCAACGGGAGTTCTACACGAGAATCCTTATACACGTAAGATACGGCGTACTTTATAAAATATGATTTTAGAGATCTCACCTAAAGATTGTGTAAAGTAATTGCTTGTGTTGTTATCTGCGTTTGACGTTATAGGTCTGTTTGATTCTGTTTCTATCGTCCCACTAACAGGAACCTATGACACAGCCTTCAGTATCTCGGTCAAAATGCCCCCCTCCGCCCATGCAAGTACCTCGCACCGCCTTGAGGCTACTGCCGCAGGCGTAGTAGCTGTGACAATCCTTCGGGTCCGCGAAGTACCCTTCAGCCGTGCATTTGAACGCGATGTTACTTGGAGTAACCGGCGCTGCTGTTGTTGTTGTTGCTACAGGATCAGAGCAGGACTCAGCCTTACAGACTCTGATCGAATGTACCATTTCCCTTCATGCAAGATCCGGGAATCGGCTGTAGGGTTTCTCCGCAGGTGTAATAGTTGTGACAATTCGTGGGGTCGGCGAAAACCCCGACTGTAGTACACGTGAAGGCAGGAGCTGAAGTGGAAAGTTGTTCCGGAGGTCCGGAACACGACGTCACTCTGCACATTTGGCTGTCGGAGTCGTAAGTTCCGGTTCCGTTTATGCAGGTTCCGAGTTTCGGAACCAGGCTGCCGTCACACTTGTAGAAATTGTGGCAGTCGGTGGGATCCGGAAATGTTCCAACTCTGGGGCATTCGAATGAATGCGGTTTAATCACACGGTAGCCGGAAACCTGAGAAATTAATCACAACTTACAGATAATTTTGTGGCTCGTAGCGACCGGTTTATTTACCCCTGTCTAATTCATGGCGATTGTGGTGTTCCGGGTCGTGACGTCATATCTCGTAGGTGGCAACTAGTTATTCGTATAAGCGAATCGCCTCTGTCTTCAGGTTGTACCCTGAAGATGGAGGACTGTTAAGGTGAAGACGATACTTTGGTAATCATCTAGAAGACTAAACGGGGCCAGAACCCGGAATATCACAATTTAAATATTCACCTTCATGAGGAACGTCAGATATTACAACGTTGTACGCGTACAAAAATATTATATTAAGGATATTTTTAAACACATTTGTATTATTTTTGTAACTAATCCTTTTCTAAACCCATAAAGCAACTGTTTTGGATTTGAGGTTCTCGCAGTTTCTGTTCTGAGTTTTGTAGCCGTGTTTGCTCGTCCGTATATGTCACAGTTTCGGAACAGCATACCTGTCCTTCATCAGGACTTAAAAATGGAAACAGAATGCTTCATTACCGAGGATGAGGATGGAGGCAGTACGTTCCTCAGAAGCTTTGGCATGTACCAATGCGCCTACACGGCTCAGAAACTCAGAATAACAACTTTGTTAAATAAAGCACATCTTTTGACCCAGTCTTGTTGCATTAATGCTAAAAAATGGAGAACTTGACTCCAGTTACGGGCTCGTCTCCTCTTAAAGTTATTTTTGTGTAGACGACCCTAAAGTCGTAGACGCAGATCGGAGGATAATATTAAAATTGCTTTTAAGGAAATAGCATATGAGGGTGTCGTTTGGATTCATCTGGCTCAGGATAGTGAACATTAATACACTGTAATGAAATTTCGGGGTTTATAAAAAAAAAGGGGAGATGTTTGGCTGACTCAGCGACTATAAGCTTCTCTAGACAAATCCAAAAATTTAGCTGCGATTCAGAAGTTCCTAATACCTCCATAATTAGATTATGGTTGGTTCATAACTGCTTACTACTTCCATTCTTATTTGATTATGAGGGCAGTAAGCACCTCTGAAACGTCGGCCAGTTTCTATCAGACTACAAAGCACAACATTACAGAAGATGGTCGTCATCTTTCGAGTGCGTTGACCATCACAAACGTACTTGGCGTTGGAACTCACCAGAGACGCAGCTAAGACGCAGAAGATTATCATCCATAGACGATCCATTCTTACAGCATTTGGGTACGACTGCTTTCAGAACCTTGCGCGTGCAGTATGTTACATACTCATAGAACTGGAGTTATACTGACGTTATCACCTTCGCGTTCTACATATTTTTGTAAACAATACGTAAAACTGGCATTTTATCGCGAATACTTCCCCCTAAGCAAAACCTCTTAATCTTTTAAAATACTTAATGCGCCTGATACTACTTGAAAAAGCCATTAAATATTGCAAAAAAGCACGAGTCTTCGAGACAACAATCAGCTTGTTAATGCTATTTAAGGATATAATCGCTGGTCAGGTCAGGTTAGAATGGGCTTCTCGGCGTTAACAATTGACGATCGGCATAACATTTCCGGCTACGTGTGACATGACACGCGATTTTCACGTTTTTCGAATTTTATGACGACGATAGGCGTCACGACACTCGGCGTCGGTTTCCCAGTAACGTATTGTGTGACGTCCCGATGCTCGTCTTCCGATGATCTGGAATCCTGAGTCCGGTGTCTCGACGACAGGCGTCGGTATGCAGGAAACACGAACAGATAATTGTGTGAAAGTGAACGGATTTCCATGCAAAATAATAATTTCGTTTTGTGAATAAGAATATTTATTTGTGGTTATAAACATTTATGTTTTTTCTTTTTCTATTTAAATACAGATCCAGACACTTTAAGCAGCTTTTTGTCTGTTCGGATTACTGATTTTGGTAGATGAATATTCTGATTCTAACAATTGTAATTAACACAGTAATAAACTAAGAAATTAATTTGTGTATATAATGTAAACAATTTGACACAAAAGTAACAAGAAATTCAATTACAGGAAGGCACTTATACGAGAACAAAGCGTTTTAGGGGATACAGTAATTCAAGAAGTGAGGAATTTTAATTATTCAGAGTGCAATGTAGGCTCTGAGGCTGACAGTAAAATTAACATAAATGGGGGAAAAAAATTTGAAATTGTTCATCGGAACTGTAAAATGCACATCAGTAAGGAAATACCAAAAGCTAACATTAATAAAGCTGTGTGCGATAACACCCGTGAATTCTGATTTTATCTTCGCCCGAATCGTGGACGTTGATGAAAGAAAGTGTGTGAAGAATGGAGAGAACGAAAGTGTGTTTCCGTACACGAGAATCATTTTATACGTAAGATACGACGTACTTTATAAAATATGATTTTAGAGATCTCACCTAAAGATTGTGTAAAGTACTTGCTTGTGTTTACAAAGAAATAGAGCTGTGTTTTTATCTGCGTTTGACGTTATAGGTCTGTTTGATTCTGTTTCCATCGTCCCACTAACAGGAACCTACCAAACAGCCTTCAGATTCTGGGTCAAAATGCCCCCCTCCGCCCATGCAAGTACCTCGCACCGCCTTGAGGCTACTGTCGCAGGCGTAGTAGCTGTGACAATCCTTCGGGTCCGCGAAGTACCCTTCAGCCGTGCATTTGAACGCGATGTTACTTGGAGTAACCGGCGCTGCTGCTGTTGTTGTTGTTGTTGTTGTTGTTGTGTTCAAGGATTGACTGCAGGAGCCCACGACACAAATGAGCTGAGGATCGAACCGCGCAATAGCAGTACAAGTGCCCTGAGTAAAATCAAGATCTTCGTCACAGACGTAAAAACCGTGACAATCTTTGGGGTCGGCAAAAAATCCGGAGGACGAACACACAAACGCTACAGCATCAGGGCAGGGCTCAGTCGTACAGACCTCGTTGACAGGATCGAATGTACCATTTCCCTTCATGCAAGATCCGGGAATCGGCTGTAGGGTTTCTCCGCAGGTGTAATAGTTGTGACAATTCGTGGGGTCGGCGAAAACCCCGACTGTAGTACACGTGAAGGCAGGAGCTGAAGTGGAAAGTTGTTCCGGAGGTCCGGAACACGACGTCACTCTGCACACTTGGCTGTTGGAGTCGTAAGTTCCGGTTCCGTCCATGCAGGTTCCGAGGTTCGGAACCAGGCTGCTGTCACAATTGTAGAAATTGTGGCAGTCGGTGGGATCCGGAAATGTTCCAACTCCGGGGCATTGGAACGAATAAGGGACAGTCGCAAGGCAGCCGGAAACCTGAGAAATTAATCAGAACTTACAGATAATTCTGTGGCTCGTAACGACCGGATTATTTATCGCCGACTGGTGTTCCGGGTCGTGACGTCATATCTCGTAGGTGGCAACTAGTTATTCGTATAAGCGAATCGCCTCTGTCTTCAGGTTGTGCCCTGAAGATGGAGGACTGTTAAGGTGAAGACGATACTTTGGTAATCATCTAGAAGACTAAACGGGGCCAGAACCCGGAATATCACAATTTAAATATTCACCTTCATGAGGAACGTCAGATATTACAACGTTGTACGCGTACATAAATATTATAAACGGACAAAATTAGGTAGCATTGCTAAATACATTTTAGTGTGAAAAGTTTTCCACACAAGCCAGGGAGTTTTAGCAGGGTCATGTAACTCTGTGTACATTTTGGTTATCTTCTGGGTAATTTTCCTGGTTTTCGTGATCTCATTGTGTTTAAGGGCATGTGATAAATGTTACTCGTGTGTCTATTCGCGTGATTTAGCTATCAGAACACTTGATGTGTTTCCTTCATAAATCTGTATCAAAACTTGTTGTGATAAATGAATTTTTTTTTCCGGTAAGTAATCAGTGTAATTCAATTTTATATTAAAATGCAATTGAACGTTGTCGATTCACTATAAACGATTCACAAAGTACGACACTATCTGAAATGTATCACATAGTCGGCTTAACCTTTATTTAAAATGTTCTTCTTTTGATATGAAATATAATAAATTATGACAAAAATATATTTTATTTACCTTTTATTTGCTGTGTTAATATTGAACTTATTTCTATCTGCCAATAGTGATTATTTTATGTATTAGTCTGTCACCAATAAATAGATGCAAGCCTTATGCAAACGATCGATGGAGAATTTGCCTTTTCAGAAACTGATAGTTGCTCACCTGACGTAGAAAGTATCCAACTTTTATGATACACGAGCCCAGTTTGAAGTATTTTGGTGAGATCATAAGTTCTCACTGCAGAAGAAATGAAGATGACTATCTAGTGGGATGTTGCACCGTGCAGTCTGGTAGAAATTTAATATGTTTTAGAGCTGCTTACTGCCACTGTTCTTAGTTTATTATGAGGGCGGCATCTCTGAAACGTCGGCCAGTTTCTATCAGACTACAAAGCGCATCATCCCAGAAGACGGTCGTCATCTTTGGAGTGCGTTGACGCTCACAAACGTACTTGGCGTTGGAACTCACCAGAGACGCAGCTAAAACACCGAAGATTGTCATCCATAGACGGTCCATCCTTACAGCATTTGGGTACAACTGCTTTGAGAACCTCGCGCGTGCAATACGTTATATACTTATAGAACTTGCGTGACCTTGAAATTTCCTCTTTCGCATTCTATGTATTGTTTATTAATGTCTGTAACACGAACATTATATTGAGAACATTAGACTAGGACTTAATCGTTTGAAGCACGAAGACCTTTTAATAACACTGAAAAGTCTGTCCCTACTACAAAGAAGACATTACGCGTCTCCATGACAACGATCACTTGGTGATGCTGTTTAAGGTAATAATCGCGGTTTATTCGAATAATTTCACGGAATAAAAGATAAGCACTGTAAGGAAAAAAATGCAGTTAAACGCTCGTTGTACGATTTGCATGTCCGAATGGTTCAATTCGGAAAAGCACCGGACGGATTTTGATAAAATTTTGGAATGGAAATTATGACATTGGGATCTTCTCTGAAATCGACGTTTCACTTTCATGCTGTCGCTCGTGCGACGTAACGCATTTGGATATTTATACCCATTTATTGCTGTTTTCACTGAAATTTTAATGTTTTTATAGATTTTATCAAAACACTGCTGTATACAAATTCACGAAAGTCCGCCCACCGAAGTTGTTTTGTAAAACTTTTGACATTATCCTTTACCGTAAAGAACGTTGAAGGTGCATCTTGTGTTCTGCAGAGTAGGATATGAGTTTCCTTGTAATTAAGAGTTTCCATACGTCTGCTGCTATAGAATTTAATTGTCAACTTACGTCATACTTATTAATTCGTTTTCCTCATCACTGACGTCTGCAGCCATTGTAAAAAAACAGAAGGTTGTGTTGCGATGTGTAAAGCCCCTAATTGGAGTGGGGCCTTAAACATGACAGCTCACTCGCACGTAAACATTTTATTAAGGGTATTCGTGAGTGTATGAGGACAGATGTATTCTGAACCGAATTTGATGTGAATGATCATTTCAAAGGTGATAAAACTGGAGGAACGGATGAGAAATTATCTTAAAATTGTAGTCTGAAGCGTTAAACGTAGTAACCAACTGGAAAACTTAGGTGTATATGTTGGTATAATATTAAAGTGGATTTAAGTGAAATAAGATATGAGTGTGGGTGACCCCGCTACATGATACAGGGTTCAGAAATTGTGTTTGGAAACTGTGCTGCTTTTATTCAAGTAATTTTATTTCTGTCGAAAGTGAAATGACAGTATTCAGTCATGGAAAATTTTCCACGCATTTTTCAGTTCGACAGAGAGACGTGATGAGCCCTTGCAGTTGAGACATGCGAAGTTTTGTACCAAGTTACAAACATTCCTGCAAATTATTTACTAAATATTGCAAATTAGAGGACGATGAACAACATATTTATGATTGTATGCAACTAATTTAACGTACAAGGAATCTGTACGCGAGTAATAAGACCTTCCAAGCAAGACCACAGTGGCACTAATCGTAACTGTGACAATCTGTAGGCATTCGCATTTGCCATTGAACGCTCCAGTTCAGTGGTTATCAGTCGTGATTTTCTTTATTCGGGAGATCCAGGGTTCAGATCTCTGTCTGGAAAACTGAAGTTTTTTTCAGTCTCTCGAGGCAAATCCCAGTATGATATCTTAAATTAGGTCAAAACCACTTCAGTGATGATCTTATTATACGACGCTGCATGACGTCAGCAGTTGAAAACATTCTTCAGTAAACCAAGGAAAACAAAAAAGAATCTGCAGTTTAACCGCCATTTTATTCCATGATCTTCCCATTAGGTGAGATTTCAGGTTCTCACGGCGACAAATACGCCTCTTTTGAGGTTTTTTGCCGTGTAGTATGGTGATGAACGTCGCCCTGAAGATGGAGGTAGCTAGCATCTCTGAAACGCCTGTAAACTATCAAACCTGAGGACGCAACATTCCAGAAACAGCCATGATCAGCTTCAAGTCAGTCCAGACGCTAACCCTTGATTTCAATTGCATTTTGTAACATTTTAATCTTACGTCATCTAAACATAATTGTCTTCCTGGTCGTAATGCCTCGTAAACGTGTCGGCACATTCCAACGGTTTGAAGGAACATACTGCCTCTATCTTCAGGGATGAAGGAAATATGTATGTAAGTTTATTATAGGTAACTTTATTTTGTATTTAAACGAGTTTTTATTTTGTTCTTAAGCTTTATACAATAAATGTTACATAAACATTGCTATTTGTCCAGGAATTTAGACTCTTACTGCGTGGTGTTTTTGGGCCCTTCCATAGCTCAGGCGGTTAGTCACTGGCCTCCCACCGCAGAGACCCGGATTAGCACCCAGGACATTTCAGTGGGTTTCGTGGGCGAAAATGTGGCACTGGGACAAAATTATTATTATTACAGTTCTTTTGTCCACCCTTGTCAGTATCGTTTAAACGCTGCTCCATATTTACTCATCATCTGCGGTGTAGACAACGGGCCCGTTTTCACGATTTTGTCGTGTTTTGTGCTGGGTTGACTTCGAAAACTACAGAGTGATTCAAAAGCTTCTGTGAACACGCTGGCGTCGCGCATATGTAATTGTACCGCGTGGGCTTAAGGTGGATATTAACGTTTTGGAATAACAATATCTTAAATTCCTGCCATGTAAATGGAGCTAGTATGGTCCTCCGAAACGTTAGTATCTACCAGCATGTTCACACAAAAGAACTAAAATCGACAGGCCTACTATTTAACGTGTGTGTTCTTATCAAATCACACAAAAAGCATGTGTAATAAGAGGTATTGCAGAATAATGCCATTATTTTCTTCGCAAGTGAATATGATTGGCAACTTCCTTTCCATGCTCATAATAAGAATAAAGTTAGAATATTTGACGGCTGTGCCGGCGGTACTGCACGACATTTCCCTTGAGCGGAATCACTGCTTCAGTTCCCGCTTCCCCTATAACAAGCGGCACATTCGCCAAATATCCTCACAGTATTTCGAAGCGGGTGAATTAAAGTAGAATTCCACATGGTCCTGCAATCTGTCGTGGACCTGAGACACGAAACTACAAAGCGAGGAATCGAAAAAGTGTTGTTCAGACAATGGAAACATTGTAATTTGCGTTTGCTAGCAGCACTGAGTTCTAAGGTAACCGAAAGTGCTACAGTTCACAGTTTAGCAGAAGCCTAAGGAGCAGCCGCCCGATTTGGCGTCGTAGTAATAAATGACGCTAAGGGCACACGTCTGGGACACAAGATTCAGATTCACGTCGCAGCGGTAATACTTGTGACAGTCCGAGGGGTCCGCGTAGGTATCTGAGCTACTCGTGCAGTGCATTGTGGTCGTTCCCGGAGTTGTCGTTGTGGGTTTTGGAGTTGTCGTCGATGTGGTGGTCGTCGTCGTCGACGTTGTCGTCGGGGTGGTGGTCGTCGGTTTTGTGGTCGTAGTCGTTGTTGTGGTCGTAGTCGGGGTTGTGGTGGTCGTTGGCGTTGTAGTGGTTGTCGGTGTTGTGGTTGTCGTCGGTGTTGTAGTCGTCGTCGGGGTTGTGGTCGTAGTCGGTGTTGTAGTCGTTGTCGGGGTTGTGGTCGTAGTCGGGGTTGTGGTGGTCGTTGGCGTTGTAGTGGTTGTCGGTGTTGTGGTTGTCGTCGGTGTTGTAGTCGTCGTCGGGGTTGTGGTGGTCGTCGGTGTTGACGTCGTAGTTGGTGTTGTGGTTGTCGTCGGGGTTGTGGTCGTTGTCGGCGTTGTGATCGTTGGTGTTGTCGTCGGCGTTGTCTGGGCTGTGGTAGTCGTTGGTGTCGTCGTCGGGGTTGTGGTGGTCGTCGGGGTTGTGGTCGTCGTTGGCGTTGTGGTCGTCGTCGGCGTTGTGGTCGTCGTTGGCGTTGTGGTCGTCGTCGGCGTTGTGGTCGTCGTTGGCGTTGTGGTCGTCGTCGGCGTTGTGGTCGTCGTTGGCGTTGTGGTCGTCGTCGGCGTTGTGGTCGTCGTTGGCGTTGTGGTCGTCGTCGGCGTTGTGGTCGTCGTTGGCGTTGTGGTCGTCGTCGGCGTTGTGGTCGTCGTTGGCGTTGTGGTCGTCGTCGGCGTTGTGGTCGTCGTTGGCGTTGTGGTCGTCGTCGGCGTTGTGGTCGTCGTTGGCGTTGTGGTCGTCGTCGGCGTTGTGGTCGTCGTTGGCGTTGTGGTCGTCGTCGGCGTTGTGGTCGTCGTCGGTGTTGTGGTCGTCGTGGGCGTTGTAGTTGTTGATGTAGCCGACCTCTGCGTTATTCCCGATGCGCAGACTCCTGGCTCGCAGTCCTGGTAATCGGAATTAAAATACGTTGTCAGCGGGCAGATTAGTCTGACAGCCTGCCCATTGTGGTCACAAGCGTAGTACGCAGTGCAGTCCGTCGGGTCTTCGTACATCCCTACGCCACCGCATGGGAAGTCTCTACTCGTCACCGCGGAGGCCGTTGTCGCCGTAGGAGCTGACGCTGGCTGGCTGCAGTCAGCTCCGACCTCGCAGTCCCTGTTCACGGGGTCGAAGTGCGTGTTCAAGGGACAGGTTCCTCGTGCGGCCTGAAGCTTGTAGTTGCAGCTGTAGTAGCCACTGCAGTCAGCCGGGTCGGGGAACAGCCCCTCGGAAGGGCAGTCGAACGCCGTGACCACTTTTGTACTCAGGAGCACACTGAAAATCTAATTGCACAGTTAATTTAAGTTGTCCGCAGACGAAATGTGTTCAGACAAAGAAAGAATTTCACACTTTTATTGTCACTCGACGCCGCTGCTTAGTGACTTTCACTTTTTCGTCAGATTTGAGGTTCTCACGGCAGCAAGTGTGGCGATAACTGCCTTCTGGGACATTGCTCCCTGATGATGGAAGCAGGATTAACTTGTAAGTTACCATAGTTTAAGATTTTGCAATCTAATTACAAAATGTCATAGATGAGTGGTTAACTCTCCTGCTTTGTATTTGGGAGGTCCTGGACTCAAGTCTTTGACCAGAGACCGATTATTCTGACGGTTTTCGTGATTTTTCTCAGCCATCCATTCAAATACAGGAATGATGCCTTGATTTAAGCTGCGATCGCTAATTTCCTCGTCCTTTTCAATTAATTTGTCATTACTTATTTCATCATCAACCTGTACTGTTTTTACGATGAAATTTAAGAACACGTCATGGGCGGGGTATGTAGCACGTATAGGGTTTGTGAGACATCATTCATAGTTTTGGTCTGAAAACTTTAAGGTTAGTGAGGCGTCATAATTTTTTTATTTACTTTAGTTTTTCACAAATACGTACACTTAAGCAATCTACAGAAAGTACGTTCGTTGTAAAATTTATCTCATATTATTTCCGCTTTTCAATTAAAATCTATAGCAATGTTCAACAGTTAAAATAAAATAATTTCCCGTCGCTGTGTTAGATGCTTCGAAGTCTGAGGAACTTACCATGTGCAAAGCTGTTAGCCGAATTTTACGAAGTTTGATCTCCATTTTGTAATGGCGTTCGCTGCAGTTTGGTCGTCATCTCTGCTGTCATTTGTTTTATATAACCTCTCTGTTGCATGATGCGGCTCGTATTTCATTTGTTTCTAAACACGCGATGTCTTTCTATCCAGTGACGACCTGCGTAAGTCTCTCTCATTTAAAATTGACTGGCTGTTATGTCTTCGCGTAATTGTACAGATGTAACGTTCGTCGCTTGTTCACGATCTTGAAAATAACTTTCAATGTCGGTTGCTACTGACGCATTTGTACGTCTGTAATACGTCTGGGAATATTAAATTATATAATCAGATGTGTTGCTCCCAAGGAGGTGCGAATGGCTGTACTAAAATTGTGATCTTCATATGAACTTATTTCTTAAATAAATCTATTACAGCACTTCTCACCTCGGCGACCGGATACTCTGACCGGTTTTCGTCGTTTTCCTCAGTCTCTCGAACCTAATTCTGGGATAGTATATTAAATCGAACAATTACCTCTTCCTTCCATATCCTTTCCAGCTATTAATTAATTAACTAGAGCAGAGCGTTCCTTTCGGATCTCCTCGGGGGTTTTAAAATCTTGTGTAAGAAACTAAACCAACCCCCCCCCCCCCGAATGGGGGTTAAAACACTTGACCAATCCCCTTCGGGGGGGTTGGTTGCGTTTTAAAATCTTAAGTAAAACACTAAACTAACCCCCTCCCACCGAAGGGGGGATTAGTTTAGTGTTTTACTTAAGTCATTTGTTTACTCGGCATTGTTGTGTTGGTACAACAATGCCGAGTAAACAAATATAACGTGACATTGTTTGATGACGTCATTTTTTGATAGACGACAAATCACAAATTTTTGTAGTAGATTATCCTATGATTCAAATATATTTAGTCTGAGTTGCTGACAGAGAACATAAATTGGTCTTGACAAAATTTCTCGAGGTATTACCCTTCGCATGGGACAAATTCTTGGTCATGGCGTCTTCTTAAATGTTCATAATCTCGTAAAAATATTTTGATGAGCCCCTAACTCAGTACCCAGGGTGTGACAATGTGCTACTTGGTCAGGGCTCTCTCTGGGACCGCGTGGGGCGGTGATCGGTGGGTGTGCGGGCAATTGGGCGACAAGGGGAAACTGAAGAATCCTACTCCATCGGCGATTCGCCCCTCGCGAATCTTAGGTGGAGTAGCCGAGGACTGAACCTAACAGCCTGAGTTGTAAACGTGACTTCGCATCAGAAAATTCCAACTGATGTGTCAGGTTGGGCTCGACACGGACTTCAAAATAAATGCGTTTAATAATTCTTCGCGGTTTTATCTGATTTTGTATGTTGCTGAGGTATGTGAGTGGAATCTTACATTGTGTGTGTGTGTGTGCACAGAGCTGAAATTGAAGATACGACGAGCCACTTTGGTTAATTTTATATAAAATTCTGTTTGCACAGGGAAATGTTTTTAAAAGGAAGGATTTAACCGAGCCGTCTTAAGTAATTAGTACGTTTAATGGAAAACTAGATTAAGTGAAAATGCAGCAGTTTGGCTTAAAGCTCTTGAATGGAGATGAAATTCGTTAACTGAAAGATTGCACAAGCGAGCAGGGTTTTGCTAAAGTGATTGAAAAGTAACTTTTTACGTTAATTCATAAATGATCAATGCAGATCTGGACTTAAAACATTTTTCATCACACCCGAGTTTAAAGAAAAACAATGTAAAATGAAATATATTATTATTCATACGAGCGAAAATAATTTTTTTGTGTAAAACATTCCAAGTTAGAGTAACATGCTTTTACACTTTTGTGTTTTTCTGTGTGTTTTTGATATATTCATTGGCCATAATACGAGATTATGATGTTTTATTGGTGGATTTTAAATACACGTTTCTTCCCGTGTGTGTCTTTGCAACGAGAGAGTAAAACTATGATTTTTTTAATATTGTTTCGAAATTCAACGTAAATCAAATAACGTCCGGTCTGCGGGCCAACGGCTGGAGACCAAACCCTCAAAATTCGAAACAAATGTGCTTGAGAACCTCAGTCAAAAATTTTGCGATGGGCCAGACATGTGGCTCGCATGGGAGAAGTATCAGTCAGGAAACTGTTGGAAAGTGGTATGTTGTAAGACCAAAACAGTGATGGTATTATATTGGCAGGGAACTTCGTGAAACAGGCAGTTTAATGTCGATTTCAGTTTCATAACTTTATTTAAAACGTTACATAATGGCGCGACATGTTTCGACATATAATATTCTGTTATCAGGCCATTTCTGAGTGAAATAAGTTGTGTTACTTGTAGGAGAGCGGAAATGGCTCTAAATCCTGTCTAATGGTGTAAAATGACAGACAAACTTTTAACCTGCGCTGAGAAGCCTTTTAGGTGTACACGCAGGTTTTGAAGGAACATGCTGCCTTCATCGTCAGGACATCTCTTTGCTTATTTATAAACTGGAGTTTTTTTCTTCCCCACTCCCATCGAATCATACGGACGTAATCCGCTGTCCTGTATTTAACCTTTGAAAAGCCACTGGTAACTATATGTACCACCTGCTTTAACAATCAGTAACTCTGCGTTTTGTATTTATGTGTTTCATGTGATTCTCGCTGTAAACAGCGATTATTTCCTTAAACAGCGTTAACCAGTTGATTTCTGTAACGGTGAAGAGTTGTGTTTTCTTCGCGGTACGGACTGAATCATTAAATGTTATTCAGATCGAGCTTTGGGCTTCAGAGCCTTAATATTGGCCCCGTTGCTCGTCATAACACCTGGGCCTGTCCTTTAAGTCGGTTTAGCATTTAAAGCGGTCGGAACCATAAACGTCGGATCCTAGTGACAGATCTTAGATACACAAAGAGCAGGGATGTGATAGTAAGGAGACTGCTGAATGTTCTCCGCGGCTCGCGGGTACGCCATGTTTTTGTAAGGCGATACACAACCAATTTACACTCTTAGATAAAAGAATAAGCAGGTTCTGGAGAAGAGACTAATGGACATCGCCTTGAAAAGCGATCCTCCTCTTTTACGTAAAGCGAGAGGATGCAGAACAGTGAAGTCGAATTGTAATTCCGAACAAACAGCTGTTAGGTTTTCTCGAGATACTCAGACAAGTCTCGCACACATGCGTTGTCTGATTTAGTGCTCACTCTGGCGGTGGAAATCCTAATAAACCCGCTGAACCAGAGTCCATCAACCTACCACCCTTTTTTCCTGTGATCAATCTGAATGTTATCCTCTAATCTTATTCCTGATTTTTACGACAGAATGTTTGTCGCATTTCTTACGTTCCTCATTAGAGTTAATTCTTGTCAGTGCCATCGTAATTTTGTTTCACAATCCTAAAAGAACTGGTCTGTTGTATTAATTACCGACTTCCTCGTTAATTAGTGCTCTAAATTTCTAACTCATTTGATGGTTCCTGGGTCGAAATATTTTCTTGTGTGCTTTGATTAATTCAAGGAGCATGAAATTTGTGGGGCATGTAGCGTATGTTGTTACAAAGCCTGAGGAAAGGATACCACTCGACAAAACTTGACATAGATGGGATGATATTATTAAAGTGTATTTATGGAAACAGGGTAAAGGGTGGAGATGAGATTATCTGTGTCAGTATAGGGACCAGTAGTGGGACCTTGTGAACATGTTAATGAACCTTCAGGTCTTGACTAGGTGAGTGACTGTTAGCTTGTCAAGAAGGACTCTGCTCTATGGAGTTAATGCATCCATTTAGTTTCTCAATTTCATATTCCCATGTGGGGATTCCACTGATCCTCAGCGGGGAATCCTCCGGTGGTTGATGCAGGATTCCAACAGATATTGAATCGGGATCCGTGGACCAATAAAGGGCCCGGTTCCTGGGGTAAAAATGAAAATACTCCGTCTCTCGAGCCATCATTAATTTGGAGGGACTATAACAGAGTACACTTGAAGTTTGATGTGGCTGTCTTCTGGGACGTTTGCCTTGTAGTATGGTCGAGGCACCTCTGAAACGTCCGTCAGTATCTACAAGGAAACGCCGCGCAGCATCCCAGGAGGCGGCCATCTTAATTTAGTCGCCGTGAGAAGATGAAATAGGAACATGTATTAATTATGTCTAATATAGGAAACATTTTATTTATTGTTCTTTGAGTGATTGGTTTAAGTGTCCACTTCTATTATAACAAAGGAAACATTTTATTTATTGTTCTTTGAATGATTGGTTTAAGTGTCCACTTAACATAACACAAACTTACACTGATAAATGCGTCGTTTAATAAATTATTTGTTTTAACATATTTAAGAACCTTGTTTAAACTACATTGTTTATATAATGTCGAATGAAGTCGGGAACTTATGAATAAATGATGGGAAATTAAATATTTTAAAGTAAGACGTAGTGAAGAATTCGTAGGTTTTTCCCGGCATTCGCCTGGAGATCCTGAGGAAAACATGTATTTGGTTGCATTTATGAATTCGGTTAGTGTTAACACATGTATCTCCTTAGTGGTCTACGAGGCTTGAGCAGTTCAGCAGAATCCGAGGGTGCAGTAATTATTGTCGATGTCGTAATGGCCCACCCCAAAATAGCATAAGTAACGCCGAGGTCTCAAATTTGAGTCGCAGCTGTAATAAGCTCGGCAGTCCTCGGGGTCAGCAAACAGCCCTGGTGACGAGCACTGGAACTCTTCATCCGAAGCCTTCGTGCTGTTCGCTGCTGACAATCCAAATCGCGACGGCTTCGTCAGAATAGAGCACCCTCCAATGCTGCACCCTTTCCTGATGGGGTGGAAGTAGGACCACCAGAGGCACGACTCGTGTTTCGCTTGAAGGGTGATCGTGCATCGGTAGTAGCTCCGGCAGTCTTTGGGGTCGGGGAAAACCCCTTCTTCGTCGCACTGAAAAACGTTGGCAGCACTGACATTCCTTGATACTGCTTGTGGACCCGCTCCGAGTGTGGCAACCTGGAGACACTGAAGAAATCACTAATAAATAGTGTGGAGCCGAGGCTTTTATAAGAATTCAGTCCGTACCGCGAAGAAAACACCACTCTTCACCATTACAAAGATCAACTGGTTAACCCTTTGAAACCTAACCTCATCTAAATAATATTTAAGAATTCAGTCCGTACCGCGAAGAAAACACAACACTTCACCATTACAAAGCTCAACTGGTTAACGCTGTTTAAGGAAATAATCGCTGTTTACAGCGAGAATTATACGAAAAAACATAAATACAAAATTCAGTGTTGTTGATAGTTAAAGCAAGTGGTACAAATAGTTACCATTGGTTACAGTTATAAAAATTAAATATAAATATATCGGCTTACCGTCTGTGCGTAAAATATAAACGCACCAAATATCCAGAGCAGATCCCCCATTCTCGTCCGTCTGTTTTACATGTACGGTTTACTACGAGGCTGTTGGCTGGGGTTATATACCACCTCCCAAACCAAAGTTGCGTGCGTGAAAGTGCGTATTTATTGTCTTGCGTGAAAGAGGAATCGTTCGCCTAACTTTCTGTCACATCAGGACCGAAGCAAGAGACTTTGCTACATGAGATTCGTCTTCGAGTGCGAAAAGGGGTTAAGTTTTCAGCATGGTTCATATTTAAATAAACGTAACGTAACGTATATCTCATAATATACAACATCTTATTTATGTTATGTAAACACTTTTGTGTTTTAACAAGTTTTCAAGACAACTTGTTGCAGGGATATTATTAAACCGTTGCCAAATGCAGGTAAATTCGGCCGATAAGTTTTCTGATGTAAAGCGTAGACTCCGTTTCAGTATTCTACGCCGTGTTTCAACTCGTGCTTAAAGATGTGGGCTTATTCCATTTTTTCTCCACAGTTAATTTTACAACAACATAATTTACGCTGTCAACAAGCCATGGTTTCTGAAGGACGCCACACACATGTATAATTTGACGTCTCTTTATGATTTATTGTAAAGGAATTTTACCCCTGACGTGTTGCATGTACCTGTTTCTAGGAACAAAACACAGCGTCTTTTGTGCTGATCTTAGGCTCTGCTCTGAACAGCCTTGTAATTTACGTACAGTAATATAATGCCTAGAAAATGTTTGAATAGAAACCCAACAAGTGTCTGTCCTTAGCAGTCCATGAAGAAACACTGATGAAATAACGTAAAGAAATAGTAATTAAAATATATTTATTAAGGAGGATGGCTGTATTTATTGTTCAGCCCCACGTAGGTGCTTCCTAATGGGGGGTCCCACCCCAGCAGGAGTGACCATTTTTCCAGAAAGAAGTCTTCAGTGCATAAAGCAGTGTTTTCCAGTCCACATTAAGCTCCTGCACCTTATTTTCAATACACCGCCCCCCTTCCCCCAGAAAACTACATTTTATTAGCCCCTTAAAGCCCCCTGGTAACTATATGTACCATCTGCTTTAACAGTCAGTAACTTTACATTTCGTATCTTTATGTTCCGTATTTTTCTCAGAATAAACAGAGATTATTTTCTTAAACGGCGTTAACCAGTTGATCCTTGTAATGGTGAAGTGTTGTGTTTTCTTTGCGGTACGGACTGAATTTTTATTTAGACGAGCTGCGGCTTTTAAAATTTAATAGTAACTATTGCAACGTAGCAAATTAAAAGAAGTACATTAATGACAGTGATTGACATCCAGTTGCCATAGTAACAGAGGGTCTCTTGGGATATTTTGGTCACCTGCAAAACATACAGATTTACAGGTTTGGTAGAGGTAAGGTTTGAAAATTAAAAAGAAAAACTGTCTTTTTGAGTCACATTATGTTGATATTACCTTTTATTGTCCAAATTTCTATGCTAAGAGTTTAGAAAATAAATTTGAATTGGAAAAGAAAATGGATTTTCATGTTTTAAAACTCCATGTAAGCGCTTTCTTCCGAGAGACAAAAGACTTGTCATTATTTGTGCTTAGACTCTTAGTGGAAAACGTATTTTATTAGGAGTGCTGGGGTTTCGATATTTTAAAGAGGATTTAATTTTGTTTTCATGCTTGAAGATAGAGACAGTAATATAAACACTAGAACAAATGTGACGGATGTGCGAACAGAAATGCATAATGTTTACACGATTAAAAGAAATTTCTGTCTTAACGATAACACTTATGTCTTGTCTTACATCTGTCTTGCAGGAAAAAGTTGTTTTTATACATAAGTTGAAAGAAACAGGTGATTTTATATTTTTAAATAATTTCACGTGTAGAAGCAGATTTCATGAACGTGTTTTACGTGCAATTTCTCCTTCATGTGCACGTAAATGTACGTGAGGGCTGCATCTGGCATTTTAGCAGAAGCCGAAAGAACATCCCTGTGTACTGGGATCGTATTTCGTAAGAATGATGCAAGTATTGTGTTGCGGGTTGCTTATTATATCACATCTGTAGTAACTGTGGCAATCTTGAGGGTCTGCGTATGTTCCCACGTTCGGGCAAACGAATGTTCCGTTGGTGACAGGGGCGCTGGTTGTTGTTGGCGTCGTTGGCGTCGTGGTCATGAACGTGGTCGTCTCCGTCGTCGTCTCCGTCGTCGCCTGTTCTGTTGTCGTGTCTGTAACTTCTTCAGTTGCTTCCGGTGTCGTTGATTCGGCTATGATTACCGGAGCATCGGTTTTGCTGTTTAGTTTTGAATTCTGCGTGCAGTTTTTAGAATCTCCAAGAGCTCCAATATCTCCAAAATCTTCATCACAGAGTATTTCGTATCTCACGTCGATTGTTATCTTGCTACGCGCAGGATTTCCGATTACGCCAGAGACCTGTGACGTACAGAACATAACTTAAAATCGTACTTTCGTAACATTTTAATTTTACCATCAGTATCTGGTAAAATAATTCATGTTTCTTTATACAAAAAGTGTATTAATGTTATAGTATATTAATATAGCGAAAAGGGAAGTTGAGTTGAGACCAGTCTTTGAAATAAGGCTACTTAATCTTTGCCGACATATATCTTCAACTAAACCGTAGGCCTACAGTTAGAATGCATGAGTCTATTTCACATACTCTCGCTTAATACAGCTTCTACTTCATGTATATAATATCGAAAAGCAATAGACAGTCAGTACTCGAGGTAAAATAGGTTAAGGTTAGGTTAGGTTAGATTATGTTAGCTTAGGTTAGGTTAGGTTGGGTTGGGTTAGGTTAGGTCAGATTTAGGTTAGGTTAGATTAGCTCAGCCGAAGTTAGTGTGTTACAGTTTCTTCAGTTCAGATCCTGTGTTTCAGTTTATATACGCACAGATTCATCCACGTCTATTATTAAATCGTGTAATAATAAACTTACCGCCATCATCACAACACACAACAAAGTTACTTGTCTCGAGAACCCCATGATGTATGACAATAGAAGTGGACGCGTTCTTCCCTCTGTTTTATATGTTCGTATGCCTTGTATACGTGTGTTCAGTCATTCAGAGCTTTTCTCCAGCACCTGAATACACATCCCCAGATAAGTGCCTTATGCACGAGTTAGACCTCACCAAGTGGTGTGATGCAGCACTGCTGAAAACTTGGCTAGGACAACGAGGACACAATAAAATCCTATAGGGCAACGAACCGGTCAGTTCTGGACAGGAGCCCAATGTTTCGGAGACGTTATCCGCTTCCATCATCAGGGGCTTGACTCCCGAGAGGATTTTATTGAGTCTAGTGACCTTTAGAGCATTATGTCTTGTATATAAAATGGAGGAATTTAAAATATTACTGCGATGATTTACAACATTCTATGTTCAGCTCTTTTTTTTTTTAACTACTTGTATAACGCTCTCTGGTGCAGGGTGTTTCTTCAGAAGTTGGTAGTCACTCAGATAGTGACTAAACTTCCCGCTTTATAATGTCTGGAAGTTAAATACCGTACGTGTTTTGTGAAGACAGACCGGATATCGTATCCTGAGACTATTCAATCCACTCCTTCCCCTCAGAACAATTTTGCCATGAGTCATTTTAATATTATAATCTCATTTGACCCCATGACCTTCCCATCTTAGCTTTTCTCATTTAATCAACCTTACGATATTAAATTAAGGGTGCAAATTATGAAACTTCTCAACACGTAATTTTCTCTATTCTGTTACGTAGCCTCCGTCTCAACCCTGGAGATTAAGGCAGTGTGCTCCCACGAGTCTGCACGGTGTCCCTTCCCAGACGACCAGCATCGATTATTTTCAGCGATCTGAAGAAGGCCTGTGTTTTGGCAGCATGAACTAGCATCGAAATGTAAGTACGAACATATAAATCGCATTATTTTTTTTAATTAAATTCAGCGGAGAAAATGCTAACTTTCAGTGTAACAAGAAATGTATTACGTATTCCTCTTCTGCTGTCAGCATTATCTCCAACTAATATTTGCTGATATTTCTCGCAATTAACTCCACAGCACTGTTTATTTATCTGCTAGCAGATTATTGAAACAAATGGCGAGCAATTTGTTTTTATTGCGTCATAAGTAACAGTTAACTTGAGTACAAGTGCTGCCAGAATTGTGCCGATGTTTGCATTTCGTAAGCTGTGCTCGAGATTAAACTTGTTCAGTAAATCAGCTAACACTTGTGAAGGTCTCAGACGGTTCTATGTTAAAAGAAACTGACTACCGAAGTCAGACGAACGCGTGTCAGACACCATTACAGTAGCCGTAAGGTATCCGCCTTGTCTTAAAGTTTTTATTTATTTTCAATATGAAGTAACACGCCCATGGGCAACGGATATTCGAGAGGCCATGTCTCTCTAACCGCGTGCCAGCATTCTTATTTTTTTAACCTGATCACTGCGGCGTAACCTAAACTTAAGAATATTCATAAATGTTGATCCTATAGAACAGTGGTATTCAACCTGGGGTACGCGAAGACATCTTAGGGGGAACGTGAAATTTAAAAAAATATATTATTTTATGATAAACACTGAATAATCAGTAATGTAATTTATTTAATTTATTTTAGATGTAGATTATATACTATGTATAACTTGAATTATACACCAACAACTTTGGGGTACAAAGTTGAAGAGAAATTATATCTGGGGGTACGAGAACAAAAAAGGTTGAATA